GATCTAGAATTTCGATGCCCACCGACAGCCTAAATCGATGGGCATTGGAGAACAACTTGGAGTGTAGATAAAGAGAAGGCTCATAAACACACGCATACGCACACCTAACTTGTATTGCAATTTTTGTTTTTATTGCTTTATCATTAATTATAATTCTAACAATTTTAATTGCCAGTATGGACCGTCTTAATACAGATAATAGTCTATATTCTATATTTGTGCTTTTGAAATTAATAAAAAACAAGATTTTCCTCCTTAAAGTTGTCATTGCATATAACTCAATTTCAAAAAGCCTAATTACGAAGCTAAATCAACTAGTTTAAGTGTAAATTGATCTAGTTGAAAATATATTATTTTCCAAGTGTATTTACTTCAATGGAATTTAATGATATATCAATTCACTTTTTATAATAATTAGTTATTATTTAAATTTCTTATATATAAACTTCCTTTGTTCATTTTGGTATAGGATGTTTTCGGTAGACTTGCTATTTTAAGGCCACGTGTTCATTTTGATTCAAAAGTTTATTTTTTTCCAGATGAACTGATGTTTAATTAAATGTTTGATATCGTTGACACAGCATTTTTTCCTATATTTTCTATCTTCGCGGTGAGATATGCTAACAGATTTTTATCCTAAGAAACATACGTCAAGTGCAGGTGATTCGAACTTCAAATGAATTTATTTTTCATCTATTTTACACATGGTATAATGAAGAGTGAGCTACTGATCACGAAAAAAATTGTTTCTGTTCATGAATGCTGATTTCAGATTAGAAAAAAATTGTAAGGTTTCGTTTTTCTGGTAACGCACATTTCCATCGAAACATATTAAATTTGCGTGTGGACGTGAACAGCTAAGCATGCCAGTGTTCCTCTCAAACTCGGAATCCGGCTCACGAACATCGACAACCACATCCACACCCACTCAGGTACATACACATACATTGAACAGAATGAACAACAAGACTTTGATTGCTCTGGGAAATCCCAAAAGCATTTGTCGAAATTTGAATGGCTAGAATACTTTTGTGAATGTTCTCAATAGTGCAATTTTTTATTTTTGCTCAAATGAAAAGGTTTAAATTCAATAAGTCAAAAATGATGGTACAGTCGTAATACGATCAATATTCGTGTTTGTGAGTTGATCGCGATACATAACAATTAGTCTATCAATACTTACTGTAGGTATATTGTATATGTTTTATTATAAGCTTATTTGCCAATTCAGTCAAGGATTAGAATAATAATACAGTTAAATTAAGAAAAAACGAATGCGAAAAAAATATGAAACAAAAATAACGAGCGGAAAACAACAATTTGAATAAAAATAGAGCACCAGTACAAACAAATCTGTTTGAAATGCAGAAATCAATGAGACATTTTGTTTTTTTGGCGATTGATTTTCGTAGGAAGACAACTATAGTGTGTAACAGATTTTTCACTTTATATATTGTGCATAAGTATCACCATGCTAAAAACCATGTGAGCTCCACATTTCAACTCTGAAGGAGCTGCCTTAACAAACTTTTTCCATTCTGCTTACGCATAAGTGCAATAATAATAATGCATACAAGAACAAGTATAATACATAATATGACAGCAGCAATTTTTATACAATGAACTCTGCCAAATTTTGAATTTAATTTAGCAATAAAGGTACTATTCGATGTAATTAGAATATGGGTTTCTGTTTTGTTTGGTTTTGGGCACATTGCATTACAATCCTAAAGCAAATAATAGATTTTCAATTCATTTTGCTTTCATTATACATCTCTCTGTTTTATTTAGTGTAGAAGCGATCATCTATCCGAAGATCGAGTTAGTCCTCTCAAGCTTTGTGATTATTGTATAACGTACTATATGCCTATTCTCTTCAAAAATAAGTGTTTGTCCTCCCAGAGTTATAAAGCACCCACACGGAAGAAAATATCTGAATAGAATACTGATAAAATCTTTCGAAAAATATAATATAAAATATTCTTGTGTAAATGAATCAATTATTTTGTTTAAATAATATGTATTGTACAATAGTTTATAAAGAGCAAGTCTCAATAACATGTTAATATATTTTATCCTGTACACCAATTGTCATAAGTACCCCCCCCCCCCTCGGATCTCAGTCAGTACAGAACTGTGGCTCTAAAAATGTGTATATATATAGTTCTCAATGAATGTAGGCAGCAACGAAACTCGCCGCAACAGAATATGTCGCAAAAGAATAATAGTTCGTATAATCTTTCACCATTGTGGATTTCATAGCTCAGAAAGAAAAAGTCTTCATGAGTTGAGAGTTTCTCATTTTATAGCTGTATAAGTTGTTGACTATATATGGTGAAAAATTTCATTGAAGTTCATAGCGCTAACTTATTGAAGGTTTGACAAATACTAGAGATAAATGGCGCTATGTTGAATATAGCAAAATTGCCGTACGTCTAGATACTCGAATATTCAAGCAATCGACTAAATATTCTGGATAAATAAGAAGTTTACATTCGAACATATTTCTACTAAAAAAATACCATTACAAATATTCACCATATATAATGGAATACAAGGCATAAACTTCAAGTGTATTTTTTGTTATTATGGAAGGATTTTATCGTTAGTTTTGAATATGGAAACAAACACTTGTTGAGATAATGTCTGACTTCTGTATAAGAAGCAAACAGTATTAATGTATCGAATTAAAAGTTGTGAAGTTCTGCTAACAGTTTTCATGATGATGCTAGATCAGGGTAAGAACGGAAGTGAGATCTTCAGAACTACAAAAAATGCACTATTAAAGTTTGTCTTGCTTTCTAAGATATCTGGTTATTTTTTTTTACTTCTTTTTGAGAGAAATGTGCTCGTATGCCCATTTCTTATTTTGTTGGGAATATGTGATTGATTGCCTGAATTTTCGAGTTCGAGTATCTAGACTTACGGCAATATTTTCATATGGACCATAACACCATTTGTCTCTAGTAAGCGATAGATTTCTAAAAGTTTAAAATCGATTTGTCAAATTTCACTGAATTATGACTTAAGCAATGAGGTCGAACGTTTTCTCCACAAATCGATACATACAATAAAATCCTTTTAATTTCCCAATAGCTCGCTGAACTGCAATGAAATTTTCGACGTGCATAACCAACTTATACGGATACAAAATAAGGGATTCTCAACTCATAAAAGCTTTCTGTTTCCTTATTTATGAAGTTCACAATGGTGATAGACAGCATGCATGATTACTCTGCTGTGCCTCACACTATTGCGATGGGCGTTCTGCTACTGACCTACATTTATTAAGGACTTTATATATACATCCTTTAAGAGCCACACTTCTTGTAATGCCTAACTTCTGAATGGAAGGATGGATATTTACGACCAGTAGTGTAAACACGTTTTTTTATGCAACATATTGGTAATGATTGTAAAAGAACTTTGGTAAAAAATGCTACCATACATCGGTTGGATAGCGCACTTTAGAAATCAATTGTCGGAAGTGATTCATCACTTGTCGAAGTCATATATTAAGTATATAGAAGGAACTTCTGATTAGGATAATCTCAAAAGGATTTGGATACATAGGCCTTGTTTAGACAGTTATCATAGAATGGGATATACACAAGGAAAACTCAATAAAAGAAATTTTGATCTGAAATTTTCTCGTTGAATTGTTCCAATGATTTTGAGAATATTGTTTAAGTTTCATTGAAAATAATCAATGTCTTCTTGAAAATATGTTCAATGTCGAATCATCGATTAGATATTTAAGAATAATCAGGAATTTGGAAGATTTGACGAAGAAAGCAATCGTTTTGATTGAAAATTTTCGAATCATCAGACGTATAAAAATAATTTTAAATGAAAAATTCTTTCTTGAATTTTTTTGTCAATGTCTCGTTCTGTGGTCAAATTTTACCAAAAGTATCAAATTTTCTTTAGAAAACTTACAGACACGAATTCTTTTGATATTATTCTAGTCGAGAGACCTTCTTTGTATATTACAAAATCTGACGAATAATTTAGGACGAATTTCCGGTGAATGTATTTAATTCTTTGAGGACGAAACATGTATATATACATCCGGTTTCGAATCAATTCTTAATCGATCTTTGTATGCTTCCAATGATGATATCCTGATGTGTAGTAGCTCAGAGAGATGTTGTATTTGCCTTCTCATTAATCACAACTTCATATTCTAAAATTCCTTTAGACATTTTTTGATATTGATATGAATAAATATATTGCATCAGAGTTTCAAAAATTTTTATTTACCTTCTTAAAAGAAACTCTCTCCTCAAAGAATTTTGAAATATCTATCGGAAAATATTTTAATTAATGAGTATAGTGATTGTATTTTTCTTGTTCTGTTTCATCGAAATGAAGATTTTGAATTATTAGCTAAATATAGACGCCTCTTCCAGGTCTCAGCTGTGTATCAAATTTCGCAACTGATCTTTATTCGTGAGATAAAGAGTATCTATCATTCGTTAAACAATGGGGATAGTAAGTGATAGATAAATTCGAATCGTATTACTAAAAAGAAACATGATTAATGCATCAACATGTAAGAAATATTCAAAATAAAATCATAATATTTTTCGAATTATTTTTTAAGATTGGAAATAAAGATTTATTACGTACCATGCAAGTACATTTTGGTTTTGAAATATGTGGTAAAATGACGGGTTGATCACAAGTAAACATAGATGCTTGTGGCGGTTGAAATTTTCGATCAAGTTCTGTATCATAATAAGTTCCGTTAACAAAAACAAAATCAATTTTTAGTTTCTCGTATGAATTTTTTAAACCAATAAATTCAAAAAGCTTTTTATAATCACATGAACGATTTAATGATCCACAAAGAATATCAATCACATATTGAGAATTCACTTGAACATCCCTTTGAAATAAAAATTGATGTGAAAAAGAAAATAAATTATCTTTACCAACATGAATCAATAAAATCCTGTGCGTGTTTTTCTAACAAAACATATCGAAGTTTCCCAATAACACTAACTATTTCAGTTGGTTTTACTGTTGTTGTTGTTATTTCTTCATCTGGATCAACATAATCCTCTAAAGTCCATTCGTCACTCATTTTGTCATTTGATTGAAGAGTATTATTTTCATTTGGTCGAGTTATATTGATGATTTCTAATGGCCATGCAATTTGATCTTGATTAGGACTACAAGCCATTTCACAAAATATATGACATAAATTATAATAGCACGATGGGCATTGACTAAATAGGATATCACGAATAGGTTTCAACATTTTCATTTCAGCTAATTGTTTACCATCACAGCATAAATAAGGCGAAATACCTACAATAAATTTTAAGAAAACTTATTCATAAACTACAAGAAGAAAAATTAACCATCATGCGTTTCTATATGGGGGCATATTTCATTTAAAAGATGAACTTCATTTAATGGTAATGGCTTTGGTTCACCATGTAAATAAAGTTGATTAAAACTAGAATGTGTATTTCCATACCAAATACATTTTGAATTAATACTTGGAATTAAATAAATTAATATTATAATCAAGCATTGACACATTTCTTTTGTTTTATAATTAAAATAGATTTTATCAATTGACATGAAAATAGGGAATGACATCAGTTCGTCAAGATGGTTTATCAATAAATATAGACACAATATAGATGAATAAGCTAAGACGTTTTTCGGTCGCAGAAAAAAATGATTTATACTTTTCTCAGCTAGAGTATACTCTCGTCATCAGTGGTGCCTACTACACATTCTTTATTCTATTGATCGCCAAAAAAAAGCAATAACCAATCAACAACTAGCCTAAATATCGAATCATGCATTTCGCTTGTTGTTCTCATGCTTATTGCGTCCATTCTAGAGTTGCTTCTCTTTCTTTTGCTTTGTTTGTCCCTATCTATCTTCATAAGTAATTTGTAACTAATACAACATAAGATTATCTAAGATAAGATGAAGATTGTTTTTATAATAGTACGGCGTTTACATTTGAAGTGTGGATATGTGTGTCTAAGTCGTTCTATCAAATTTGTATGACTGCAAAGTTCATTTTTTTATTATGATGCATTGTCTGGCAAAGTCACTGTCCATCATCCAAATTAAAGATTTCTAAACTAATCAAATAACTTTCATTTTTCCTTTTGTATTTTTATAGTTGTTGTATTTTGTAATTTTTTTTTTGCCTCACCAGCTGATATATTATAATCAGTGAAAACTTTTGTTTTATATAGTGTTTACAATAGTAATTTCGAGAATCCTGTAACGATGGCAAACATTAGTCCATTTTTTAAACCTGTAATTGTTGATTCTATTGAAAAGCCAAGTGAATCTATTTGATTCTGACTGGGAGATACGAATCATTTATTTGCAATACCATTTGCAATTTGAAAAAATGCTTGTATTTTCTTGGTCAATATGTTTCTTATTACACGCTCAGTATTTTTTTTATTTGGTGTGTGGGTGTTAGTCTTCATTAATCAATATCTGTGCCCACACCCACCCCAAGACAGAAAGGAAAAAAAACAAGAATAATACTAAGAAAAAATACCTGACATAAAGAAAGAAAGAAAACAAGCATATTTATGTATTTAATATCAGGTTCTTAGCACATGATATAACATGCAGCGTGCTCGAGAATGGGAAAAAACCCACTAATTTCGTCAATGATAAATACTCAGCAAAATCGGTTGCGAGCATATCAAAAAATAATTTGTATACTTCAACATCTTTTATCATGTAAGTATACTTAATTTCGAATATTATTAGACTAGTGACAAAAATTAAAGTTGAATGTCAAGATTAGTTACAAACGACGCAAACGAGAGTACATTGAAATGAGGCATTTTAATATTCACAGAGTTCTCATGTAAAAAATAATTGGCAAATCACCAGATTGAAATCGATGACAATCATACAACTTTAATCGGCTTTTAATCGATTAGGAATCGATTATTAATCAAAACTAGCCCAAGAAACCAAAATTTCATTGATTATTCCTATTATTTTCGATTACGATCGATTATTATCAATTTATGGAAAAAATTGATTATAATCGATACGAATCGAACAAAATTGATTACAGATTTTGCCATGTTACTCTGAAGGAAAATCGATTATAATCAACTTTTTTCATAAATTTTCAACCGATCATAATCGATTGAAGATGTATGATTTTAATTGATTTTACGCTGATTATTCACCTAATTTTTTTATATGGGTAACTTCAAAAAGGCTTCGATTGAGAACGCTTAGCATATGCAACCGATAGTCTTGATTGAAGTAACTTTTATACGTAAAATAATCTTACCACAAAAAATGTCAAACAGGATGATTGAAGTTTTTCGAACTTGAAGCCAAACCTGAATCCGATTGATCAGACTTTTTCGAATCCGGTTGAATCATACTTTGATACTCTGGTTGAAATTTTCTATTATGAATCCGATCGTTATCGTGAAGATACGAGTTGTTTTTTCTCGATTTCTATATTCAGCCACTGGCGCATCCTACGCGTTTCTCGAACGACTAGAGTCTATCTGATCTAAAACTTTTAGATTCAAACCCGACTGGATCTGGGACCGATCCAACGGACTCTAGCAACAAGTTTACGAAACGATTATCAGCTACTGTTTTGTTGTTCACTAGTGAAAACTGAGAAATAAACCATTTTCTAACTTTCAAGAAATTAATTCAATGAAATTGATTCTACAGTTTTATTTCCGTCAAATCTTAGAAATGTTCTATTTAATAAAATGAAATATCAAATAGAAAATGTTTATTTTTTATCAATTATGGACAGTATTAGAAATAGAACAGTTCACCGATTGTTTCCATTGATGTAACAGTTGGAAGTATTCACCAATAGAAATTCGATCTGTTCGATTAGATAAATTCTTATTGAAACAGCTCTTCGAATAGTTCAACTGTAGGAACTGATTGGCTTTAAAGTAAATTAGATTTCTGCAACAGTTAGAGACCTAATTCAAACTGAAATATTGAACTGTTAAAAGATTGCCTGGCACAGCTCTTATCAACTTATTCATACCAGGTGGGAGTAAATTCCTCACCGTTTGAAGTATCGAATTTCCATTGGGTTGATCAGTTCCTTGAAAAGGAACATTTTGAATAATTCTATGATTGATTTGGTCTGAACTTATGAGATGAATTCGAAGTCTTCTCATATATAATGTAAATCGATTGATACACTAACGATTCATATTATTGAAAATTCTGCATAAAAGAAGGATGTATTTTCAGCTGTTGACATTTTCTAATGAAATGTTAAATAATCAATAATAAAAAGTTCATGTATAATTGATTTGATGTCTCCAAAAATTCATTAGTTTAATTTGATATGTTGAAATCTTGCTTTCTGCGAAAAATCTCGTACGACTGTCAATGCTTCGAACAAGGAAATTGTAGAAGAAAAGAAAATTTTTAAAATTTTGATGAAGATTTCGATTAGTCGTCAAGCGAATCAGTTGAAATTATGAGAATATCATATATCCAAATTCCATTTTAAATAGATTTTTCGAGTCTCAAACTTTAAAGATATTGCCTGTCCGAATGGTAAAGTTTCAGAATCCATTGGATAATCAGATCAAGGATTCGAAATACTCGTCGACTGAAATATTCGTTAATATTTCGTTACCTTATATTTATATTCAACTGATAAATTATCAGCACTAACAAGGCACCCAAGAAACTCACAACAAGGGCAACAATATAACATCATTTTCTGCAGTTTTCGCGGGTGTGGGTGTGTCGCAAGTTTCTGTTTAAACCCACACCCACACTCACACCTGCACCTTGTTTATAGTTTCATTTTACCGCTAAAAATTTCAAAAACTCCAATTATTATAAAAATATTTATTTCAAGAATGTTATTTTCAACATTTTTGGTTATTAAAGACTTTAACATCTCGATATTTTATCTTTCAACATCACTAGGATGAATGGTTATTTGTTCGATACTTTGAATTGTGAGTGCTTTTTTGTCGACATTTTCCCTTCGATAGTTTGCTCTTCTGCATTCTCATTTTCGACATTTTGCAACTTTACTAAGATGTTTCTTCAGAACTAATACACCAGTTTGCCATTTAAAGTACTATCGACTTTTTCTTCATCGATATATTGATCTATACACAGAACTAACTCATCAGTTTACAATTTCTCTTGTATTATGCAGCATCAAGAATCAATGAGGAATACATATTGGTCTTCTTGTTTGTATCCCAATCTAGTACATTCATTTCACAGTGGTATCTATCAATATTTGTTTCTTACACTAATATTAATCGGGTCGAGTAGCGGTGGTTTAGAATCGAATATCATGTGTCGATTTTCTGAGCAAAACCAGACTGTATTTTGGACTGGTGAGCTCGTTTCTGGCAACATAGAATGTACCAATTATAATCATCAAGAATTGAAATTGAAAAGTATCGACCTAGAACTGATCGGTGAGCTTGGCTACAAAGTCACATACAACAACTATCGCAGGGAGTCGAGAATTACCCGACGCAAGACATTCTTCAAACAACGGCTCAATCTCAATTTCACTAACGAACAAGGCGATTTTCTTCGGCCATATGGCAATCATAAGTGGCTGCTTCGTTTCTTTCTTAACGATTCCCTACCGCCATCACACGAGAAGAATAAACCCTATGATTCATTTATTCATTATTTCCTTGGGATGGTATTTGTCAGACCTGAATGGTACAAACGAAACATCAAGAAAAGAATACCGATTGTTGTTAAACATACGTCGTCGCCTGTAGATGCGATAAAAGTTGAGACACAAGAGAAGAATCGAAATGGTCTTCATCTTCATGTCATTTTGCAGATATCAGTCGTCGCTGTTGGACAGAATGTCTCATTTGACGTCGAGATAAAAAATCCGAAAGAAGTCTTAATAGATCGAATATCGGTGACTCTTGTTCAACATTTGAAGCTAGGCCCTGCCCAAACTAGGAGGCTCAATCTTCTAAATGAAACCCTGAAAACAATCAATCAGTTTAAAAGCACACATCTCCGCAAAAACTTCCAGTTGCATGTGCCCCACACGATTTCACCAAGGTTTTTATTTCATATTCCTTCAAGTGATGGCGAACCACCACTGATTATACGCTATGAACTGCATTTCGAAGTTCATCTTAGTGGCTTTTTTACTAACATTCGGCTGCAACTCCCATTGATTATAATCGATCATCCACAAAATAACTTAGCATATTTAGGTGCCATATATACACTATAGATGTTCTCTCTTTTTTTGTTAAATAAATAATGCTTGAAAATCAATTGAACAGTTTTTCTCTCATATTCCTTCAGAAAACAGACAAGTATTGTGGAATTCGTTCTTAAAAAACTATCAACAATAAACCGTTTCCTGGCTAGTGTACAATATTGTTCTGGTGGGCGAACTTTTTTGATGAACTTGCACACAAACGTACTTCCTAACCCGTGTTTATCATACAGTTTCGAATGTATTCCGTATACATGCTTTAATTCATTGTGTCAATGAAAGTTTAGGCGTAATGAAAACTGTCGAATTTGGTAGACAAGTCAATTTGGGTGTGTGTGCTTCCTTTCTTAACTCATGCCCTCCAGTCATAGGTTTCATTTCGCTGATTGTAGCTTTGTTGATTTACGAACAGGCAATCCAATTGGCAGCAGAGCTGCAAAATCACATCTGACTACGAGAAAAGTCTTACATGGCAGTAACATCAATGATAAAAAACTTCTCATAGTTTATATCTCATTTTAGCGTCCAAAGTCATCTCGAAAATAATCTTTTCTTGATGATAATTAGTTTTAAAAACTCGTAGCTGAAGTATTTTTCCATTCTGATCACATAGACAAACAGAACTATTCAAATAATTTTCGAGGGATTATTAATCAAATCAATCTGAGCGTCTTGAACACTGACCAAATACTCATCGTCAAATGATTTGAAAAGTTCAAGATCAAGCATAATCGCTTATTACTGGGCTTCATATAATTCTATAATCCCCGTGAAGTGCGATTGTCAATATTGGCAGCACGATCTACTTTTTAAATGAGATCACATAAAATCAAAGAATTTCGATCAATCCATGTTTAAGTCTCACCGTCAAATATTGCATCTTGATTGTGCAATTGTAACGCACACGTATTATCTTGATGACATACGCTTATACAAGCGTCAAGTCACGAAAAGTATCAGTAAGAACAAAACTACTGGTAAGAATTTAGTTTTTCAATTATGATCCAATCGAATAGGAACGTGAAAATCCAAAAATTAGTGAGCGATTGCACTCCTTGTACGATGTCAAATTGACTATCTTATTGAAATAAGGTAGGCAAGATATTCATTCTGATTTCCTTACACACACCGTAATAAGCAGACTGTGTTTCGTTTTCTATTGGCCATTACACGAGTAACTACAGATTGGGTTTTACCATCAAAATGTGCAGACCATTGTCCTTTTTCGTCGCTGAAAAACGCAAAAAATAGAACATCCAATGACAGAGAAATGAGCACAAAAAGACAGGCATGTTTTAAATGAGTTAATTTTAAGACTATCAGAATGTTCGATGTGCAGTTTTGCTAGTCATGACTTTGATTATTATGATTCTTGAAGAAAGTACAGTGCAGAGCTTTTTTTTAAGAAGGATCCGATATTTACTTTCTATTTTTTTGGGGTGGGTGTGGGGTGTGGGTGTGTGTGAGGGAAAACAATATCTATACTGACACGTACACCCACACCCACACTCCGTATGTGTAACAGTAATTCTGCCGTGCTGGTTAACTTCGGCATCGTATTTTGTGCCACGAATCTGAGTATGATGGTAAGTATATAAACCGATGGTCATGTTCTTGGAATTCAACACGTGCAGAGAGGGTGGGTCTGAGTGTGGAGTGTGGGATGTGGATGTGGGTGTGGGTGTGTGTGGTGGGGAGGGTGGGGGTGCGGCGTGGGGTGTAGATATGGGTGTCGTTTAAAATAGGAACCACGCGCACACCTACAAGCATACCCACACCAATCCAGACCCACAATCAGGCTAACACCCACACCCAAACCCATATCCCACCCAAGACTGAATGGACGGGTGAGCAACCTATCGGTTCGTGCGCTTGGAACAAGAAGGGAAACTAAAACAAGAGATTAGATACGTTAATCGAAAACTGAGAATAGAATTAATTCTAGTCTTGCTTTTGCAGCTGCTTCTCAAGATGTTCACTGAACAAACTATCGCATAGGTTACTATAGAAATGAGAAAAATTAAGTAAATTAGCATCACAGTGGTTTGCGTTCGTAAATAGTGCCTCACGTTTTTAATAACCTCTTGCAATGGATCAATCACGGAAAATAGAGGCGATTTAAAGAACGAACAAAACGCAGTCATGATGATGATGATGATGTATATTGCTTGCCTGACTGCTTGACAGATGGTCTTTATCCCATTATGGACCTATAAGTGGTAGAATAAGAAGAAATAAAAGGAGTAAGACGAGTAGAGTGCAAAATAAATGAAAACCATGTGGACCATATGCGTCTTGTTATGGGTGATCCTCAAGTAGGTGATATCCTTTTGTGCTCTTACGAGAAAAGGTTCATGTTGTTCGATCCTATCCGAGTTAAACTATTTCCATCGAATTTAGAGAAAAATCACCCGAACAAATTTGAAGTTTAAATTTTACTGCAAGAAAGTTCCTGTAAGAACAAGTTCGCTTGTCTTGAGGTATCATATCTTTCAAGAATATTTAGTTAGAATCTATATCTTGTCATTCTAGAAAAGAGCCTTACTATGATGTCACGTAAATGCACCAAACTTAGATAGCTTGGACCTTAAGCATTTTTTTTTCTTTCCAGCTAAATACCAGTTTCGACGAAACTAGATAGTTAAAATCAAAAACAGATCTTCCGAAAAAATAGGCATGACTTTAAGAATTTACAACTCTATGGAATCCTCCATTATTTAATTCAATTTTTGTTTCGTCTGATTGCATAAGATTGGAATTAATCTAACAGTCAAAGTACAATGAAAATGAAGAACTAATTTGGTGTTTCTAGAAATGAATTGAATCAAACCAAAAGCGAGAAGGCCGGGGTCAGAATCTTTTTTTTGGACTTTTTCATAATCCATTTGTGGACAAAGTAGCATTTTTCAAGGTGTCAGACACGTGAAAATTGTTGCTCGTTGAAATGATAAAATATCATGATTATTTTTTTAGTGTTTCAGGTACGTTTCTGCTTCCGTGATACTTTCATCAGTTCATCTCTCTTTAATAAGTAGACCCAGTCGACGGACGTAGTTGTCAAGGTTCCTCTCAATATGATCAATGTTCGTTGAATAGTGCATGCGGTTGTCTTCCTTTAACAGCCACTGACAATGATGGAATTTGTGCATACCTTTATGTCACGTGTTCGAAATTGATCTCATGTGACGGCAATAATCGAACGTGTTATCAACCTGATCATGTATGTGTGAAGCATCCACGATGTAATAGTCATCATTCACTGTGCTATCCAAAAAACATGGCCACAAAAGCGATTTGTCCACAGATGCCATCATCAACGACATGTAAGCAATGAAAACGAAGGATTTATCATGTTGGTTTTCTGATTGCCTAGCGCCACCAATTCCACACGATGGCATTTGTGCGAATGCGACGTGGAAAAAGAATGGTACCATTGTGGTCGGAGGAAATGGACAAGGATCGGCATTGAACCAACTGAACAACCCATCGGGATTGTTTATGGATGACGATTATGCCATCTATATTATGGATGGCATGAACGACCGAGTGGTAAAATGGAGGCCTGGAGATTCGAGTGGCCAAGTGGTTGCTGGTGGAAATGGGCCAGGTAATCGCACTGATCAGCTAGATGATGCATCAAGTATTGTTGTTGACAAAAATGGGACCATGTTTATTTGTGATTCTCGAAATGCTCGAGTGCTGCGATGGATCAAGGGCGAAAATCAGGCACAAACAATCGTTGATAATATACTATGCTGGGGACTGGCAATGGACTACGAAGGATTCTTGTATGTCACTGATGCTCATGAAAATGGAATAAAGAAGTGGCCCGGCGATCAAATAGTTGCAGGTGGGAACGGAGAAGGAGCTGCTCTGAATCAACTTCGATTCTTAGCTCATGTATTTGTCGATCTGGATAAATCAGTTTATATTGCCGACAGTGGTAATCATCGAGTGATGAAATGGGTTGTGGGTGCCAAAGAAGGTATTGTTGTGGCTGGTGGTAATGGAAAAGGAGATCGTATGGATCAGTTGAGTGATCCCCAGTCAATGATCGTTGATCAAATGGGCACTGTCTATGTGGCAGACTGGGACAATCACAGAATTATGCGTTGGTTCAACGGCTCCAAGTCTGGTAGTGTCATCATCCATGATGGGAGTGAGGCAGATCCGCTAGAACTGCCGATCGATTTGACATTTGATGGACACGGAAACTTATATGTAGTCGATTATTACAGCCATTACGTTAAAATGTACGCTATTGATAAAACTTCTTGTTCTACGGGTACAGTTTAGAAATTCCTTGCCATTGACTAATTACCAGTTTATCTCTATTCGCTCCATTTAGTTTAGGGTTACATCATGAACTCAGCTTTTCTGTATGAAACCCAATGATCAAAATGACAGAGTCTTCATAATCCTTTTTAAATACCTCGTACGTTTATACACATTGGAAACAAAATTGTATTCTTCTCTAAGACGAAATCCAATGGCATTGGCATTACCTTTGTATATAGAATTAAAAAACATTAAAAGATCGATATTTCAAAGGACTATTGTATCGCGGTGCAAAAATGACTGACGATGAAATTGTGACGCACGAATGGGCTGTTCATAATCGTGGAAGTCTTTTGAAAACTAGACATTTTTCATCAACTTCCAAAAATCGCTCCGTTGCTGAAGAATTTGCAGATGCAGTAATTGAAACTCCGGATAATATGCGAAAAAATCGTGTTCTTTTCATATTCAATTTTCCCATACAATGCGATCAAGCAATAAATTTAAGTCAAATATCTGACACACAACCGTGTCTATCAGAATTCGATTTTCTCAATTACTGAAGCATTCTTTTCAAACTTCTATCGCTTGGGTTTCTTTGGATAGATCATTTATATTTTTGTAACTGATTTCTATTATTGTATAGTCAATACTACGGTAATTGTAGGTAATGATGGGTAGAACTTGCACTGATGGCTTTGTTTCGTTGCGGTAATGATTTAGACCTCCTGATGTCTATCAGTCGGCGGTCTAATCAATTCAGATCGGCACTGTTGCCGACCATTAAAAACTTGAACTAGTTTCACTGACGCTTTCAACTATAATAATGCTATAAATGATCAGAAAAAAAGAGATCGCTAGAAATATTCTTTGCTGTTTGCAACTTATGCTCAAATTACACCAAAATGCAGCCCAAAAAGAGCCGTGTTACCCATAAAATTTCTAGATTTCAGAACACTTCTTTGGAAGCACGAATCCAACGTGAGGACGAAAAAACTGAAACAATTATACAGGAAATACAACGCTCTTTAAGCTACATTTTGATGTAATTCGAGCATAACTTGCTACAAAAAGTTATAGAAATAAACAATAAAAAGATGTTCAACTGTAAATATCCTTGAAAAACTTCTTCGAAGTTAATAAAAGTTACACAAATAGACGCCTCGACATTGCTCTATCTAATTACAAAAGTCAGACTTCAATAGCTCTAAACGATTGGAAGTTATTCAAAAAATGGTGATTGGCAGCTCAAAAAATCCAACAGTAATAAGTTGCCATTAGAACCAACTATAGATAAATGTGTAGAAAGCGTTTAGAGGTGTCTTAAAAAACTGAAATTGTTAAGAGTGGGGAAATCATTATCGACATTAATGTTACGAATATGCTTTTTTGCTAATACTTTTCGATATCTTGCCTGGCTTTTTCTTCTAATTCCTTTTCTACCAAAAATTCATCAACCAACATTCAGACAGAAGTTTCGAATCGAGATGAGATCAGTGCATCGGTTTCTCTTTGCATCAAAATAGAATTTGTTCTCTGTGAAAAATGAAGATCCACTCGATATTGACTTTAAAAGATAGATAAAAGAAATATTACAGCAAATATATAATTATGATCATGGGTGATCTCTTTTGTATCACTATGCATTTTGTTGAGATGACTTCAATAGAAGTCAAAGAGATAATCTTGGTTATTTCTTTTGGATGGTAAGAGTGAAAAAACTGAAGGTGAAATCTGAGCCTCTGCTTTTTAAGCGACTCAAACATGTGGACTAAATGCCTCTATGTGTATTTATGTTCTCTTCCTTTTTTCCTTCGTCTTTTTTTCTTTTTTCTATTTTGATTATTTTTCTTCCACTACGTTGTTGAAGCATCATACTGTAGTCTTGCTGTGGTTCTAAATTATCTTTCTATATTCCTATGCAAGCGCTTTGGAGCGTAATAATAAACAGTAAAATTAAAAGCATAAGTATTCCAAACCACCGTTTTCTCATAGAAGTCATACTATTCGAAAGATAGATGTACCCATTAACTCAGAAGATAATCTATTGGTCAGATTTATTAAATATACATGATATCTTATTATCAGAGTGGCTGATGCATGCATGTTCCATTTCATTGAATTGCATGATGACAATACGACAATAACTTCGATCTTTTGTGTAACATTTTGTGTCTGTGATTAAAAAAGTGATTTCTTCGGTTCATACTTATCAATTCATCGTTGATTAGAACAGTGGCTAAGTCAGCTGAAGATTGGCATTGAAATAAAAAAACTGTTCATAACAAATTGTTTTGGTTCTGAACAATCAGATGTCGCTGTGAAAAAAAGGAAAAAAACACGACTGCATTTATTTACATGACAAGGGTCATCATAAAATGCTGTTTCATCATTCATATAATGTACACGTGATTTTCAGTGATTGGAGACATGTGCGCATCTTTTATCGCTCTTTTTCTCAACGTATGTAATTGCACAAGCAGTGAAAATTACAATAAGAAATTACCAATGTGCTTTAGCGTATAAAAATGGTTATCACTGTGTTAATTTGCAATAATATCGAAAAACGCTACACGTATGACTCAATCAATACCAAGTTTCTTCGATTTTTCTTCACCTTTCGTTGAATTTTGCACGCAGGCAACATGTGCTGTGTTCTTAGGCCTCGCTCAACGAATCGCAACGGTATACCAGTTAGCTCCTACTGATGCTATTCGAAAATATATTCAAGAAATGCCCCTGAATGGTGCTATGACACAAGCCAAACAATATATTGTTCACTATGCTGAACGCTGTTGTAACGAGTATCTAGCCATTTTGAAATCGAATCCACCTATCGAGCTCAACGAAGACAATATGAATCACTATGTCTACATTACATTCCAAGAGATTATGAAGAACGCCACTGTTAACAGTGATGGCTATCGGCACCTAAATTGCATTTTTAACGGTATGATTCACTACTGTGCTGCCCAATTCAAGTATGTATTCCAACGACTTCTCAACGATGGTTTTTCCATGAGTGGTACGCGCAGTAGTAGTGATGGTAACTTTAGCGTTGCAGAAAGCAACGTTATTCGAGCATATGTGAAGCTCCTCATGGAAAAAGGTGTTGATGAGATTATGGATCAGCTAAGATCCGAGCAGATGGCGTTGGGATGTGAAGCAGACAACACGTGCGAAAGCAATACAAACAATGAACGACAGCGACTGAGTTTGATCGCTGAACAGTTGAATTTGGAAGCGAGGACAAATGTCCCTTGTACATGTGGTAGACGGCACTAAATATCAAAAAAACAAAATTTACAACTTTCGATAGAAACACCTGAACAATAATAATAACAATATTATAATAAAGAAAGATAATTTTGCTGTTTAATGTAATCTTCTAAAATACGAGCTTTCGGCTTTTTTTTGTTTAATTTTAATTTTAGTACGGTCATCATCAGCTATATAAGACACCACTTGAGGCACACACATCCATAATTATATACTTGAATGTATAATATTTCATATAAAGAAATTTATTGGTACCTTATTCAAGTTTATCTTTATAGATACATTTTATATAAGTTCTTTTTGTTTTTAGATAAGTTTATATTGTATTTTGCTCTTTTCCATTTCTAGCAGCTATGGTTTGCCTTTCAAAATAAATAGAAAGTTAAGGTTACAAGTGATGTCTTGTATTGATTCACTACAAATGTAGTCCATATTATATCGTTAAGGGAAATAAAAAATCTAAAGATGATTTGAATAAACGGAAGCGAAATCTCGCGATTGTTTAAGATCATTATAGTTTGGTTGACTTGAGACTTGTATTTACTCTTAAGCTGATATTTGCTGTGTAGGAATTTGTTTGTAAAACAAGGCTCACTCACATGACTGGCCGCGATATTATCCTTCACTGTAGTATCGTCATTCAAAATGATAAGACACCAATGCTGATGATTCCTATCACTTGAATAGTATTGTCATACGTGCCAACCCATACATTCACACCCCGATTGTGGGCGATAAACAGGTTAGTTTTTGATATCACTCGAACACTTCATTTCAAAGACGTAAAAGATCATTCTTAACTTTAACTTTTTCGTTGCACAGTTAGTTTTCAGATGTCATTTTTCTTCGGTAATCGTCATCCTTGTTATTCTGCTTTGTAGTTTCATGAATCCTCTAGTTAAAAACCATTTCAGATAGACTAAGTTACATTAACTTCTGCTGGGAAGACGAGACCTCACTACCTCAAGAACAGTAAAAGCCTGATGCATATTTATACACAGCAACAAGATCAAAGAGTGTCTAAAACTTTATTAAACTGTTCGATATATTAGTGAGACAATCGTTTTTTTGATAAATAAAAGCAAAATGTAACGAGATATTCTTCTCATTTCGTATGAAAACACCTCAAACATCGTTTATTACGAAGTCTATTCACCAGCATTTGATTCTCTTTCACTTCCGAATGGTCAGGACCAAAAGCTAAGCGAGCGATTTCGACAGAGCGTTCGGGATGTTTGAGAGATGCCTCGTAGTTTTGAAGGTCATCATAAGCTATTGCTGTATTGTAATACATCACTGACATCGACGAATAATTAGGTGATGGTAACGTTTCTTGAATTTGAAGTGATTTTTCATAAAACTCAACTGAAGCTGCTTTGTTACCGTTCGATGAATGTATCGAGCCAATACTGCTACAAAGTGGGGCCAATAATGGATCATTCGATGGAAGCCTTTGAACTCGAATCGCAAGTGCCTTTTCGTAAAATACCAGAGCATTTGTTAAGTCTTCAATTGATTTATAAGCTACAGAAATTTTGTTATAGTTGGTTGCTAATTCGAGCTCATCCGTAGAAGAAGATTTTTCACGAATTTCAATTGCTTTCTTATAAAACTCGACGGCATTCACATAATCATTCAACTCATGATAGGCTAAGCCGATGTTGCTGTACGTAATAGCCAAATTACGATTCTTAGGATTACGTAGGAGATTTACTTTGTATTTCGAGCGCTTTTTCTAAAAACGAAAGAGCAGTAGAATACTCTTTCATTGAATGATGTACTGATCCAATTTTGTTATAAGTCGTAGCTGTTTCATCAGACTGACTGAGTTGAGGGTTTTTGTCACAAGTTTCATATGCTTTTCGATGAAAAGAAAGTGCAGTAGAGTAATCATTCATGGGTTGATGAACTAAACCAATATTATTGTATGTAGTAACAAGCGATGGATGGTTTTCAGGAAGACAAGTTCGTTTGATTTCGAGTGATTTTTCATAAGATGATAAAGTTTTTTGTTTGTTTCCCATAGAACTGTATATAGTACCAAGATTATTATAACTATTAGCTACATCTGGATGCTTTGAAGGGAGTGAAAGTTCTCGAATTTCGAGCGCTTTTTGATAGTATGATAGAGCAGTTGGCTTATCTTCCATCGAACTGTAGATCGAGCCAAAGTTACTGTAGGTATTAGCAAAAGCTGGATGATTTTCTGGAAAAGCTAGCTTTTGATTTTCGAGTGCTTTTTCAAAATATGAAAGTGCATTGAACTAATCCTCCATTGAGAGGTATACTGAGCCGATGCAATTGTAGCTGTTAGCTTTATCTGGATGATTAGTAGGAAAGTATAGCTCGTGAATGTCAAGAGCTTTTTGATAATATTCAAGTGCCTTCGATTTATCACCCATCGAACTATGAATGGAACCAAAATTAGCGTAGCTTGAGGCTAAATCTGGATGCTTTGGAGGGAGGTATTTTTCTCGAACATCAAGTGCCTGTTGATAAAATTTGAGAGCAGCTGATTAGTCTCTCATATCTTGATGTAGTCCACCGCTATTACTATATATAGTTCCAAAGCCAGGATGATTTGATGGGAGTGTTTTCTGTCGAATTTCGAGCGCTTTTTGATAATATGAAAGTGCAGCTTTATAATCACCTTTCTGGCGGTAGATATATCCAAGTTGATTATTGAGATGAGCATGTTTTTGCCAATTCTTTTCATCCGTTGAATCAAGTTGTGGTGCATATATTTCTTCAGCTTGATTAAATTCGCCCATTTTAAGCATAAGATGGTCAAGTTTGCTCAGTGAAGTACCTTCTCCAAGCTCTTTTCTCATGTAATCGGTAAGCTTTTTGAGTTGTTCATCATTATCACTTGTCAGGACTAAATTGGCTTGCTAAACTCATTCCCTAAGTTGTTGTGCGCTCATAATTCGAAAAACGGTATTCATAGAGAAAAGAATTTCACTCTCATATTTATATGTACTCTGTCGATAAAAGCAAATGGAACCGATGAGATCTTTGGATTCATTTCCATATGAAAGAAAACCGCGATAACATGTGGATTTGTGTATGCTTTTTCTGCAAAGTGAAGTAAGACTTTTTCATCAAGAGTTGTTGACAAGAAACTATTGAAAGAGAGAAGACCACCCCCTGACTCATTTGTTTCTTTTCTACTTCCTCAGGTGTCATGCCTTGTCCTCGGTAAGCTATGAATTTATTATTATCACGAGTTTCGGATTGTTGAGTATGCATATCTGGAATTCGTTGATGAAGATCCTGTAGAAAGAATCCCATTTTCATGATCGTTTCAATATTTTGATTTCTCAAAGCTCAATTTAAGATTGCATAAAGAAAAGATTCTTTTGTATACCATTCAATGGCTAAAGCATTATTCTAATCTGGTTCGAGCTCATCGATTAGACCCAATTGAAGAACATCGTCTGCATATGGTGTTCGACAGAATTCAACCAGCTTACTTGGGTGGATCATCTGTTTCATTTCGAGTAGAATCTCTTTGAGCAATTGTGTATACATATATGACTGATCTAGTTCATTCCCAATTAAGCTTGGATTATCTATTCTGCGTATAATACTAATTGAAGTCAAGCTACCAAATTGATCGCTGTCAAATTTAATCTTTTGAAAAATATCTTCCATGTTTTGAACAAAATTTGTTTTATTTTTTCGGACCATTTATTTGTCCAAGTTAATCCTTGTCGTTTTGCTTGACTAAATATATAAATACTGTCGACCTGTGGTTTATCATGCACGAGAGGTACGATTTATTTGCTCAAATCATCTGATACAATTAGAAATACCTTTTTGTCATCAATATAATTTATACATTGTTCAGAATTAGTATATGTATAAATCGCAGATGTAATGTGTTGAAGTTTAGTCACTGAATCATGATATGTTTTTTTGATTTATCAATATTCGCATCCACCCAAATAATGAGAAGATGTTGATTAACCTCATGCTCTGGGTGTAGTGAAGAAGTCTTACGTTTTTTCTGTGGAGTCGATGGTTTAATAATAGTAGTACTTTTGTGATATGTGACGCTTGTTATACTTTTACTAACGCTTTTCTGAGATGAAGAACTCGATATTCGCTTCACGATATTATTTTGTGCGCTTGGTATTCTGATTTGCTGATTATTCTTATTATTATCAGGTCGAGATTGAACGGGAGCAATAGCGACAGTCGAACTACTTCCGCACCCCATTAAATAAAAAAATGCTTTCGATATTATTTTTCTTCTTTTTCTTTATATAGGTTTCATTACACAAGAAAATGAAAAGTGTTGCATTTTTCTTGCAATTCTTTTCTTCATTAGAATCCAATTTTTCTTTTTTGAGATTGTCGCAATGAAAATTAAAAAAAAAGAAAGTAAAAACCCTTGGAAATGAGTGTTTCAATCATCATCGTCGGAAAAAATTGAAGTGGTATCGAGATGTCAAACATTTTGCATAAGAACTTGGGAACTTTATTATTTTTTTCTTCTATCATTGTTAACAAGATGATTTATCCTTGATGTATGATTCATTGACACTGTAAAACATAATTCCTCGAATGTATAACTTGTGAGAGAAAATATTTTACTGGCCATCTAGAAATGAGCCAAGAATTAACTTATATTATTAAAAACTGCCATTTTGATAGTGAACATTGAGTATTTTCTTGGAGGTGTCGCTACAATTGGAGTACCATAAACTCTGATTGAAATCATCGATTATTTTCGTTTGACTTGAACAGGATGTAGGTGCTGATAATTGCGAAAAAAAGCTCACAACTACACCCACATTCATCTCCACCCAAATACTAATGAAATTGAAACTTAATTTTTTTCTTTAAATAGTGCAATTTATAGTACATGACACATAATGGCTCTTATAAAAAAATTTAATATTTAGTGAATGTTATTGAATTGCTTTTAAAATTCAAAAATTGAATTCTCATGTCAACTGGGATACATGTCTCAGTTTTCACAGTATTGTTGCTGGAATATTAGTATGTTTAGTCAGAACCGCCAACAATCAATTTTAACATCGATATTCTATTACATTTGATTGAAATATAAGATACTCGACACTCATCAACTACTTCGATCATCATATTCATTTAGTACTTGCACACTGGGAGAAAATAATATAATGAATAAACTACAATCAAGTAAACCTTCCTGTTGGAATTTATTTTCATTCAACTAACATTTTGAAAGCAATTATGTTGCTAATTTACTTCGTTTCATATAGAAAAGTGATTGTTTTATTCTAAAGTTGAAAGAAAAAAATAAATTTTGGTATTTTCAATGAGAATCAAAAGAAAATTGCCATCTGTAAGCTTAGATAACAATGAGCCTATTGACGTTAAAACATACTGTCAATGAGAACGCAAGATGAATGATTGATATCAGAAAACTTGAATATCCCCATTTTGTTTGCCTTATTATCATATATTGACGATGCATTTACGATACATTATTAAAAAAAAACAAATCGAAGTCATATGACACATTAGGACAAACACTCATATATATTTATAGCAATGTATTTTAGGACAACCTATATGAATAAATAGACATATAGCAATATACAAGTAAAAAGGGTGTGGGTGTGGATGGATATAAGAGCTAGACTCACACCCACGCCCGCAACATATTCCATATACAACACTTGATTCTCCAGAATCGAAAAATTATATTCCATTCGATGTATACGAGCCAGTATATTGTGTATACACAGCAATATGGAAATATGGTAGTGGCATGCATGATTCATTTCCTGAAAATTGCTATTATAATAGAACTTCTTTTAAAATTAGAAATTATATGCAATTTAGTTCAAAAATGATACATGCAATGAATAGTTCTAAAAATGAAGATCATTGGTATTCGGAAGAAAAATGTTCTCTTGAAACAGGCGATGTATATCCATGTGAAGAAATATTTTTCAAAAAAAAAATACTGACATACCTCTTAGATATATTTTTGTTGAAGGTCATGGATATTTTGCTACGCGAGTAATAGAAAATTATAAAATAATATCCATAGGAAAACCAAGTGATAAATTATTTTCAAAAATTCCAAAGTGTTGGATGAATAATTGTATAGATCTTAATCTTGGACTAGATTTTTTATTTCCGTCGAGTCCAATAATTAAAGTAAACGAAAGTGTAATAGTTAAAATTCGTTTGACTTCACCACCACATCGAATTAATGGAAACGATACAATGACTCTTCAAGGGTAAGTAGATAAAACAAGTTCTCAATGTCAAGATTGTTTGAAATGGGAATCCAAACAATTTTATTTTAATATTGATAATTTTCATCACTATCAAACAATGATTGTTACTCGAGTTAAAGATAGATCTGAAACAGCTATTTGTCCTATTATGAATGGTGGTGGATATGATAAAGTTCGATCAGATGTTTATTATCTTCCTTTTCGATAAATATTTTGTTTTCATTTATGATCTAATAATAACAAACAATTCTTGATAAAACATAAATAATATTGATAAGATTAAATCATTAAATATAAAATGCGATCGAAGAGCTACTAAACGACAAAAGGTATGTTAACCTTTCGAAATTTTGTTTGTTATTAAATATAAAGATTTAATATTTAGAGAAAGATGATTCATATAATTGCTTATGTACATTGTCTGTTCCATGATTTTAGTGACTTATGAAAGATAAATAGTATTTCCATAAATATCAAACTTATGTTTATCTTTTTTTATCTTGGTCGTATTGAAAAGTCAATGAACATTGAAGTTGTAGTTTGAAAGAGTAGCATCTAAGCTATGATTTAAGAGAAATTGTATTCAATTTGAATAAACTCTAAGAATGTGTTGCATTAGTAAAAATATTTAAAAAAAACAATTTTTATCAAGCTTTTCTTTTCGTTTATTATTAATGTTCTTAAATATGGTAGACATAGCAAATAGAAATCTGTATCGAAAAAAATAAACTAACGTAGAAAATTTTGACTAGCAAGGAACATTCTTTATTGTATGGGATAATACTAACATTCTAACAGAAATCAAACATAAGTCAATAAATAAAAAAGAAAAAATTTATTGTCTCATGCTATTTTTTGCTTAGCAACTGTAAATGATAACCTATTAGAAGTATTCTATGTCAGTTATAACACTATCATATTATCGTCCACCAAGATTGCCCATAAACCATTGCATTGCAATGAATTAGTTGGCAATTGAAGATCAGTTAAGTTTTAGTTGTATAATAGCTCTTCGTTCAATTCTTTTAGTTAATCTACATTGGATATTACTCATCAGATTGATATTTGCCATTTTTTCTCTGATTTAAAATGATAATGGAGCATAGAAAAGTAGATGACTACGTATTAAAAATAGTGTTATGATTGACTTTATTTTGGCTGAACCATGAGGGACGGGATCAGGGATGAATTTTTCGACAAAAATAAAAATTGTTCGAATAATTTGAAACACGTAAAGATCAATTCAATTGTTGATGATAGTTTCAAAGACGTTATTTGTTTTGATTAAAAACTTAAATAAATCTGAGAAAAAGCAGCAGATTTATTTATCCGTACAAAAGAATCTTCACTCCAAACATGTGACTGAGGGTGTGGGTTGTGATTTCAACTAAAAAGAAGCATCCATCTTCTGAGCTCACAACACGAAGAAAGCTTATGATGATAGTCAAGCTTGTAAGGAGCATTAGTACTGCTATTTTAAGACTTTGACATAACATTTATACATGATTAGATTCGTTCACTTAAGCACTACAAAACTTGATCATTTTTATAATATTTTCTGAGGAAAGATTAAGTGGACCAAAAGAGGTTTTTATACACCCCCATTCTTAAATAGAAGCCATTTAATATATAGATTGTAGTTGCGTGTGACATCTTCACATTAAATTCCATTGGATGTTCTGATACCAACGAAAATCGAAATGATAATAGTCATATAATTCAATTAAAGTAAGGCCGAAATCACACAGAACGAGAAAAAAGCGAATTAACCAATCAGAACACTAGAACCGCCACAACACATTTAAATGATCTTTTTGAGATCATTTAAGTTAATAGACCAATCAAATATGATTTCGTTCTACCAATAAAAAAAATTACGTGGCGCCTCCAAAAATTTGTACATTTTCTTGAATGAGGTGCATGTACACGACCATGTCAGTCATAATCTAGCTTGACGTCGACATGAATACAGTCTATTTTGCTCGTTTTTCATTCTTATATTATTCGGCAAGAAAAAGAATTATTTATTCCTTTTTTCTTCACTTTAGAATGAAACCTCAATTAGTACGGGTTGTTGTGTCTTCCAAGAAAGATTTACAAGGTTCTAATCTTCCGCAAGCTGGAAGTGGAAATTTCACTCAAACAATACATCCAGTGGTTCATCCCCGAAATTATTTTTCACTTCAACTGGTGAACCCAAATACATCTCCAACAAATATTGTTACACCGTCTCGTATATTTATGAATTCAACATCACCAACGTTTAATTTACATGATGAAGTATTAGCACAAAAATCAAATAATTCACCAATTAATAACCGTGTTCATGGGGTAGTTTTCAGTCCATCATCTGTGGTTAACATACCTATTAATAAATCTGGTCTAAGTGAAATTGCTCCAACATTCAATACGTGTAAGTACAATAATCTTAAAGACTGCAATTCTCAGAATTAAAAAATTTATAATTTCAGGTTTGTCTAGCAGTTCAGCTGTTCCACAACCAACAACGTTGCGTGAAAATAAAAAAAAAGTTGATTCTCTTTGCTATGAACAACCGCAACGAAATAAAAAGCTGTCAAATAAAAAGCTAAAACTTGATAATACAGGTATATTTATTAAAATTCTAGCGTAGATTAATTTTTTTCTTTAGATGAAAGAGCACTTAAACGTAGTAGAAATTGGACTGAACAGGAAGTAAAAACGTTTATCACAATATGGGGTGAATATTATTCAAAACTTATGTCAGGAGGATCGAGAAATGCTCCCATTTATCAAGCAATGACCGACGACCTGAATGAACTCTTACAAGGTCGTTCTCTTACGAGCACCGAAGTAAAATCAAAAATCGGCAATCTAGTGGCCGAGTATCGTCGACGAAGAAAAGAATTGGGTCGCACAGGCGGTAGTTCTTCAACATGGCCATTTTATGAAATGATCGACAAAATACTAGGTATTGTTAACTGTTTTTAATTTTATTATGAATTGATCTATTAAAATCATTGAATTCTTTATTAGATAGTAGATTATTTATCACATGTTTTTTTCATTTTAGGAGAACGGCCATATAATGATGATACTTTATTGACAGACTCCATGAACACGGATGAACAAACTCAACAAGACATGCCTCGACCAGATCTTAATTCGACTCAAATATCAGTACCTGTTCATGATTCAGTATCATCATCGGCAGATATTAATGAACCACAAAGTTCTGCAAATGTTAATTCAAATACTCCAGTAGAATCTTCAAATGTTTCTGCTGTTTCAAAAGTTGATACCCCACGGAACAAATATTTGTCGAAACAAAAAAAAAATAAACGAGTATCCGAAATAAGGTAAGGAATTATTAACATGTTCTGTTTTATGTGTCTTTTCCTTTTTATTGAAATAGAGTGAATTTACTAGAAGACTTGATTGGTAAAATTGATGCTTCAAACGAAAGTGCAGCACGTTGTGAAGAAAAAGTTATTGAAATATTACAACAACAAACTGGAATTCAACAGCGAAGTGCTGACAACGAAACTGAATTTCTGAACATCTTTAAAACTCTTGTTAATAGTATGATAGCCAATCGATAGTATCATTTTGTTAAATTATTAATAGTGATATTTAGTACATATTCTTCATCAAAAACCTTTGTTTCTCTGTATTTGTTCAGATAAATTTTCTATAATAACTGGTGATAATGTTGTTTGTTTTGTACATATCTTTCTTATTTTTGTGATCAATACATGTCAAATCATTGCTAAGAAAAATGTACTATTGTTCTCGGTAAATATTTATTATTCTTAGAATAAAATTCTTTGGTTTATAAAAATACTATTTTTATTTAATTATCTATCAGTTTGACTCACATTTTGATCACGCTAGTCACATTTATAGACTAAATATCAGTGCATTTACAGGATGATTATATGATTTCACGTTCTATTTAGTTTCTAGATGGAAATTTATCCGATTCTACAAGTTTTATATTTATATTTAAAAAAAAAAGAAAAATTGAAAAAAGAATTTTGCAAGGCAAATACTGAATGTAAACGTTACATGAAAAAGTATCGACGAAATTTAAATTATCGAAATGAGCTTATTGCTGCGTTGGTTATAGGTACGAAAAGTTCTCTAATCAGGAATCGTCGTTTGATATGGTGTTACCAAAGAATGGGTAGATGGTGGACGGAAATTGTGCCATTGATGACGGACATACAATTCAAGGAGAACTTTCGTATTAAACGTTCAACTTTTGATGATTTAGTACGTATAGTTGGTCCTCATATATCTAAACAAGATACAAATTATCGTGCTGCAATACCAGTCCAGAAACGAATTGCTTGTGCCCTTTACATATTAGGCTCTACATGTGAATTACGAACAGTCAGCAATTTACTTGGCATCGGTATTAATACAGCTGGTGTATTATTACACGAATTTTGTGATGTAATGATTGATTTGTTTTTACATAAATTAATCAAATTTCCAACTACCGATGTCGAAATCCGTGAAACGATTCAAGGATTTTTCACAAAATTTGATTATCCATCATGTTTAGGATCTTTGGATGGTACACATATCCAAATTAAACCACCTCTTGGTGCTGAACCAGATTATTATAATTATAAAAAATATCACTCGGTTATTATGTTAGCCACTGTGAATAGTGACTTATTGTTTACGTACATTAATGTAGGAGCGCCTGGAAGATGCAATGATAGTTCCGTTTACAGCAGATGCACATTATATGATGTAGTTCGAAATTCAATTTACAATAATTATTATATAATTGAAAATAATGTAAAAATATGTGCTCATCTTATAGCTGACTCAGCATTTGGCTTACATTCAACTCTTTTAAAACCGTATTCAGAACGACCAAATATGCCAAAGGAAGAATGTTTGTTTAATTATCGATTAAGCAGAGCAAGGAGCACAGTAGAACGTGCATTCGGAACAATGAAAAATCGTTTTAGATGTATACATAAGAAAATGGATTATGATATAAATAATTCCATTAAAATTATCAAAGCTATCGCAATCATGCATAATATTTGCATTATGTCTGGAGATTATTCCGAATTAGATTGGAATCAACCAAATCCAGTTTATAAAAAGCGAATGTTCAACAGTCAAACCATACATGGAAATCTAATTCGTCAAGCATTAACTGCTTATTTTGTAAAAAACCCATTGTAGGATTTTTCTTACAAATATTTCTTTTTTTGTTGTTGTTTTACTAGATATTTTTTGTTGATCATCAAAATAAATTATTATTATTATTGTTATTTATATTTATATAGTTTGCTTCTGTTTTAAAAATACCGAAAGAATTTCTAAAAATTCAAGTGAAACGGTTATACATGATTTGAATTGAATTTTATCACTGTTTTTTGTAATCGAACATTGATTTAATAATACTTGTATCAAAACTGCATGCATACAAGAAGGACATCTTTGAGTGCATGAGAATTTAATTTTTAAAAGATGTGCTACATTAAAGAGGCGCGCTCTTCATTTTGATTGGTAAATTGTCCATTTGGTGTGAATGCGCATTCACGTAAAGTAACATTAATTTTCTTCATCTTTTGGTGTGATTGGGGCCTAAGGATATGCCCTCGAACATCAACGCCAAATATAAGAACAAGAAATAACTAGCTGGTTAGATTTTTCATTTTCAAAGTAACAATTATTGTTTTATTTGCTTTCAGAAGAGCAACGTTTAAGAAAAAGCCAATGAGATGAAGAAAAAACAACAAAACAAACATATTCCACTGAAACTACCGACTACCATTCTTACTAAAACATTAACCGATATAAACAAAAAGTAGGCACAAATTTTTCTTATGACGATCTTATGCATCATACGTCATTTAAAGCTACTAACAGCAAATACCTAAAGAATTAGCTCATGCTGTGGCTAAATCATTTCGAACTTATAAATCATTGACGTCAACATCAAGTGCTATAATTTAATCGAAAAATATTGTTCCTACAGCTAAACCATTAAATACTGCAACTAATCTTACAAATACCTATTTCTTCACAAAAACAACGATAGTAACAAAAACTAATTTAACAACTAAACCATCTATTCAATCAAAAGCTAATATATATAAATCAAAATGGATATTGTTTATATTCATTCGGTTTTCTTATTTGCAAAGACGTCTAAATTATACACAGATTTTATCTAAACATACTGAGAAAAAAAACTGTTGCACAAATGAAAAAGCGTCCAAAAACCGCTTAATAAAACAAACGTTTTGAAAGTTTTTTTTCTTGCCGCTTTTAATTTTTTTTCTAAATGTAGTTTAACATATGCGTAATGTGGTCGTTTTTATTATTCTTATGTTCTCTATAATCTGCTTGTCTTGTATATGTTTCTATCTTGTTGTTAAATATTAGCAAAACGCTTGTTTTTCGTTAGTATTGCTTTTGTTTGAAAAATTGAAGCAATAGAATGACACATTGAAGAAAATCAGTTTTTCTTTTTATTATTATTTTTTATTCAAGAATGTTTCCGATAAGATTTATTCGTTCATATACAACCGGAAAAACACGTGAAATAATCAAATTTTATTATGATTTTAAATCACCATATACTTATTTAGCATTAGAACCAGCACTTCAATTAGAAAAAGAATATCCTATTCAGTTACGTTTTATTCCATGGGTATTGCGTATTGAAGAATCTTTTGGTGGAAATCTTCAGCAACGAAGTAAACTTAATTGGAATAAAGTTCGATATGGATATTTGGATTGTCGACGTTTTGCTAATGAACGTGGTCTGATTATTCGTGGCCCTCAACGTATATTTGATTCACGTCTTTCATTAATTGGTGGTTTATATGCTGATAAACATAATTTTTTTCTTTCATATGCTTATCGTACATTCGAACTTTTCTTTAAACGTCAATTAAATATTGAAAATATTGATGAAATTACTAAACTTCTTTATGAAACATCAAATAAAAATGTATCATTTGAAAAATTTTCTCAAGATTTTCAAAGTTATGCTAATAATCAAGGTCAACAAGATTATTTAAATGCAGAACATGAAGCTGATCAAGATAATGTATTTGGTGTACCGACATTTATTGTACGTGGTGAACCATTTTTTGGAAATGATAGAATTTCATGGGTAAAAAAGAGATTAGATTCACTTAAACTACATGACATATGACCATTATCATATCTGGATTATAATAACATCTAATAAACATATATGTGATTTTTATTGTTGATTTCATATATTATTTCAATCAATCAATGATTTAATTATAAGTAACGATTAGTATAGTTTCTATTTTCATCTCGTTTTCATCTTGAGTAAAAATAATTGATAATATTCGAAACAAAATAATATTTTTTTTTTGTTATCAATTATGTATATCAAACACAGTTATGATGAAATTGTCAGTGAAAGTATCTTTTTAAAAAAAAAATTCATCATTACCATTTCTTATTACTGAGGCGTCTATCGTTTAAGTAGATAGTAAACAATAATTTGGCCAACTGGAATTTCACCATATGAATTTAGACAAAACTATTTACTTTCCACCATTGTCCGAACTTCATGAGAACTTGGACAATAAACACAATAGTTGATTTACATGCGAGGAACCAACAACTGAAATCAGATTTTTTTGATTAAAAAATACAAGATAAAGATTTGAGTTTTTTTTCTGTCAACTTGAAATCAAAAGCATCACTTTTTTGTAGTTGCTCTGGTAAACGTCATACTCTAAATGTACGACACATCGTCTTTTAACAACCAAGTTCTATCTACAGACTTGAATTATAAAAAATAACACTTAAAATCAAAACACAAAACGAGACCTCTTTGAATATGTGATTTCTTTTTTTTGTTTGCTTAAATTATTTGTTTTTATTATTTAAAATTGATAAAAAGTCAAAACAATCAGCGATTTTTCCTCTTGCGTAAAAATAAATATTCAATAAATCAGTTATGACTTTGAACTCAAGAGTCATTCAAGGTGCACTAAAATTACTGCAATATGAACGTTCAAAGTCTTGCTCTTCCGAGCAACGGAATCGACAGAGGTGAAAACGTCTCGAAGGCATAAAGCACCAAATTCTCTATCAATTGACAGTAAGTAAACTATTTTTAGCATCAGATTTAATAAGCAATGGCTGACAGAAGTTGAAAGATCTCTGCAGAAAATCTGAAATTGCAGTTCAGAAATTGAAAAAGTCTTTATCATTGTGACTTTTCGAAATGAAAAAAACTTATTTGAACAGGAAGGTTCATACTTTCATATGGTGTTAGTGTGGATCTTATCTTCAAATCCACACCGTCAATTAGAATTCTATCCTTTTTTGTTTGGAGAACCAATGAAGATGAAAGGCGCACCATTGTCCTTGTGGAAAAGTTTAACCCTGAAGACATCATCGGTCAATGCTATTTGCATTTTAAATAGGCATCAGTTAGTAAGATATTGTTCACTTTTTTTTTCAAAGATCCAATAATGTGACTGATATGGGATAAAATAACTTTCGCTGGAATAGTGGTGTCACAACAACGATTTAACAGCTATTGTTAAAATGACAACTACATAAAATGATGTCTTCTCTGCTGTCACAATCGACAATTGACACACTTAAGAACCGAATAGGGTGTGGATGTGAGTGTGTTGAAGAGAAGACCCACACCCGCACATCTACCTACACCCACCCACACCCATACCTCACACCAACCACATGCTGCTTAAAATTTCTCAGAATTTCTTTCTTCGAAAGAATAGCATTAATAAGTTAGGTGAGAAAAGCAACATTAAAAGGTAAGATTGTAACTTTTACAAGTTAACTAGAAGAAGTGTTTATTGATATTTGAATCTGAATCTTTAATTTAACGTCTTCACCATTATTTATCAAGTTCACATCCTAAAACAGGCATAGCAGAGAACATATTTTAAAAGTGATAATCTTTTCTTTTTTTTTTTGTCTATTTCGAAAGCATAGTTCTATTCTTCTCACCTGTATAAGGATGGATGCTGAAATTTGAAATAACTATATGATTATTATAAAATGCCCAAAAGCCTAAATAAGGTGTAGCAAGCAACTAAACTGCACTGCCATTAAGTCTTTTCCAAATATCATTTTCTGCAGCCACGATGTGTTCACCAGTTGATTTGATGATAATCTTTAAATGGCTCGCTGGTTCTTTCGTTCTGGGCAACAATACATTTAAACTATGGGAAGACTCCAGTCCAGAGTCATAAAATCTATAACCACGATCATCAGTACGATCAATCCAATCTAGAACTATATTGCCACCTACAAATCTTTCAAGCTCATGATTACCATAGTATATCCCACCACAACGTCCTACGCTATTACTTGGTTTTTTCAAAAACTTCATATCAAATTCCAACACTTGATTCGATAATGATTTTATATTTGGTAATTTTAATTGGTGGAATTCAATAGCACATCCACCTTCAAACGAACCTGTAATTATCTCCAACGTACTACCGCATGTCGCTAGACATGCTGTCGATGGATCACCGACAGTTCTTACATTGACGAATTCAACTATTGTCGAGTGAATTAATGTTGCTCCTAAAATATAGAGAAGGATTTATGGCCGATGTATAGCAGCGCTGCAAAGAAGTAAAAAAAACAAACAACTGACTTCTGATCAACAGAACGATGATTGACACCAATATTGAAAATAACATTATTTATATTTTCAAATAGACTATAAAGATTTTTGTTTTGACTATGTAATAGAATGTTTAAGCAAATAGCAAGTGCTTTCGAAGCTACATATTTATAGATGCAAGAAATGCTGATCAATAAGAACTGCTAAAACGCATTGAGCTGCTTAAGCGTAAAATTAATTCCTCCTTGTCGTATACAGCCTCTACAAGTCTCTTCATTTTATGATTTTGCATTAAACAAATGCATGATTTGTTAGTTTGCTTTCAAGTATTCTTATATAAATATTTATTAATCGATGGAGTCCAAGGCGCAGAGGAGTAACTCATAATACACATTTTCTCATCCAAAATTCAAATGAAAGACGACTCTACCTTTAAGAGTGCGGGTTGGAGTGTTGATGGGTGCGAGTTAGATTGTTTAATAAAACACTCATACCGACGACAGCACTCACACACCCATCGAAAGACATTCTAAAGAAGTCAAATAAAATAAGTATCCTTGTCTCATCAACACCTCTCTTTTGAGAGGCGCCACATATCCGAAAGGTCGGAAGTGCTGGAGAAGTCCTTCGAGATCAGGAGATGCCAAACTGCGTTGAGATTGTCGGTGTGGGTGTGGGTGCATTTCTCGTGTTAAGCTATATCGACAGTGACTCACACCTACACTAGCACGCCCCACTCCCGGCAATATCTATTATTAAACTGATCAAGTGATCGTAGAATGAGAAGTTATCTTTCGAGCTTTTCTTTTTCGAAATGTGATGTAGGAAAATTCGAGTTTTTTTGTTTGAAATCGCATTTTTTCTGCATTTTGTCTTTCAAGATATTTTGTGTCGGCATTTTTTTCAACATTTTACTTCTTCGATTTTTTTTTGTTCTAAAATTCCTCTTTCGAGACTTGGACAGCAATTCACAATAATTATGCTGCTGTTACTGTTTCCTCAATATTAAAATTTTAAAAATAATCCCAGTTGCAAAAGGTGTGAATGTCAGCGGGGTTCGGATATGGGTTCCGGTGTTCATTTCTATTTATCCATACCTACACATATGCACACGCACATTCACACCAAAACAACGACATACATTTTAAAATCGAAATACTTCATTCATTTATAAATGAGACACTATAGGATTCCTATACAAAATATATTAAAATCACTGTTAGAAATCACTAAAGGTCTAAATCTCGCGAAAATTCATGAAGAAATGTGTAACAAACGTCCGTGAGTCCATAAGAGCTGAGCGCCCTATCCTCTCTATCCTTTTTCTCGGAATTCCTTTATGGATGCTCTCCATACAAGAAATAAAGTAAAGTTTTGATCTCTGTGCTTTTTGTTATTTGAATACGAGAAATCATATTACGAAAACAATATTTATTCAAATATTCAACATATAGTATGTCATTATGTCGAATAGAGCGAAAATTACGTGTTGCATCATTACATACAAAATTACCACCAGCTAGTGCAGTTAATGATGTAGCACTTGACTATGAACACTCAGTATTTTTCCAATCAGATGAAACGGAAAAAATTATTTTGTCGAAAACAAAAAAAATTTAGTGTTACTTTTTAAAATATTTCGAAGATTTAAGTTAACAATAGACATTCAATAAAGCACGATAGTTTAATAGAGTCAAGAAAGAATACAATGTATGTCGAAAGGGTATGACTATTATTGTCATGACATTATTTACAAATTTTGAACATAAATCAGCTAATCGAAGTGCTAGAAATTTTCTACAAATTTTTTGTGTAATATTGATAAACTGATTGATACTGTTGTTCATACGGAAGTGTTAAAAGAACAAAGTGGTTACGAAAATAATGGTTTTGCAATACATCGTGAACAATATCACTAGGATAAAGATTTAATCTTTGAAAGAATTATTTATTTTCCGTTATTAGTTTTCAAATGATTAGTCGAACGTCGCAAGCTACTTGTAATATGAAATTACTTGCATGCTATGTACCACAAGATGGTTTGATGCTTCTATCAGATGTAACATCAGTTTACGCAGCACTGAATGTTATTGGACCGAAAGCGAAATATTTACTACGTAGTTGAATTGAGTGATGAACATTTTAATGATTTTGCAACAATGACTTGTCAAGTAAGTCATACGTAGAAAGAAAAAGAATACAACGTAGATGGATCACAAAAAGGGAATGATAACTAAAAGTGAAGAATGTTAATTAGATGTTTTGATTACAGAAGAAATAAAAAATATGACTTAAAGTAAATGAAAATGAACAAAGTTCTTAAGTAAAGTTTATTGATAATAAAAAAAAGAAATCATTGAAGTAAGATCTTGTTATTTATTATTTGAAGAGCAAGGAATGATTAGTCTACAAATTAGGAATGTGACAGCTCCACATCGAATAGCTGAGTTGGTATCGATCACTAACTTCTTTTCTTTTTGATCAGCTTACGTGACCTAAAATCAAGTGATCAGAAACCAATTGGATAGGATAAAAGGGATACTCGATAAACTAGCTAGCATAAAAAGAGTTGCCAATGAGACCCGTTCATATAGAAGAAAGCTGATCATTAACTGTTTGATTCAGCTCTTCCAAGTAATTTAGCGGTAAACTCTCACACATCTGCTATCAATACAATTTTCATTTTGAAAATTATACCGTAGAAATCTTTTCAAAGATTCACTTTTTGAGCATGTGTTTTATTGTCGTTTGAAAAGTTTATTTCATAAAAACATTCCTTTATTTGAAGAAGCTTATTTCTCTGAAATAAAAAGTGATAATGATGAATCTCGTTAATGTTTTTGTTATTATCACTTTTGTCTCATAATTGTAAATATAGTTCCAAGTATTTGCTTGATTGACTATATTCCAAAAACATACAAATAGTCAATATCTATCCTATATTTTTGATTGTTTCTAAAAGAAAATCGTTTATAATAAGTCTGTTTTTAATACATACTTGTGTCTAGTAAAAATAGAAAGTTATTTGTAGAATTTATCCTTGAATCAATAATACCATTTCTTATCAGACCTTTATTTTATTCTTGGAATAGTCTTAATGCGATAAAAAAATCACGATGAGGAGCACTACCAACGAATAATATTGATAAAAAACTTGCAACGATTGTTGAGTGCAGGCTACTAGTTGATCATGGATCATCGGTCCATAAAATACGTTGACTTATTCATAAGACATATCAGATGCTTGAATTTATTTTTATAAGTTCCTAATTTGAAGACAGAGCAATGATTGACCATTGATGTTGACTTACATGTGGATATGTGATAATTTCAATTTCAATTTTGAAATAATAGTTTTTCTCTTAATTCTTGATATGCTTCTATAATTCATATTCAAAATAAAAATATCCATTTTTATCTAAGTAGAATACAAGAACAAGAAGGATACTCGACTTCTTTGCATCGCCAGTAGCTCATCGAAATGCATTGCTTATAGTTTCCCTTTCGGATAAGATGTCGTTTGATAAATAGAGACCCTCAGCAAAACAATGTACAAATGACCATGAAAGAGCGAAAGTAATGAGGAAAGTCGAGTTATTTTGAGAGAGATCGTTCATAGCTCATGATCATATGTTCTTTTGAAAAGAAATCAGAGCAAAATATTATAAGGATTTCTCCACGAATTCTTTTGGCTTTAATTTCTCATTGACGGGAAGAAATCTTTCAATGAAAATTTAATTGCTAAATTATTCATATGAGGGATCAAAAGACTATTGGTCCGTTTTTTCTCTATGACGAAAAAAATATCGATACTCAACTTGATTACGCTGGCATGTGGGCATATCGGTATACATTTTCTTGTTGTAGCGACACAAAATGCAAAGGAAGAAAAAAAGGTATAGATGAAGAACATGGTGAATGAAGCAAACATGTGTAATAACAAGTGTATCCTTACCAAGTCAGCTACCTATCCCTTATGAAAATGTCGTGCTCCATTGATGCACATAGAGAGACCAGTTGAAAAAAGCAGGCAAATTCGTCATTCATTAATACGTAGCAAAGCTAGTTGCGAATACACATAAAATAAAATTTACACATTATAGTATCATTTGACATGTGAGTATACTTGATTTTCAAATTATTTAAGAGACATTCTATAAGACAATCAAGCACTTTTTAACAGCGCTATACGCTTTTATTATTGCACCGTAAATTTTAAATAAATTCTGTTTTCTTAAAAATCGAATTAGAAAAAGTTCAAACATTTTCTAATTATTATTAATTGTCAAACAATTTTATAATTTTCAGAAAATGCTTGACTTTCCGGAAGTAGAATTTCAACTCGCTTTTCTACAAAAAATATTATTTTCAAATGAATCTGGAAGTCAACAACAAGTATTAAAGATGTTTGAAAATAAATTCAAATTTAGGAGCAAATCAATCTAAATTCTACAAAAAGGGTAAAATCAACATGACTTTTCAGAATATCATTTAAATAATGACGACTATAGAATCATTGCTTAGTCACATTCTGAAACACAAAAACTAAAACAGTGGCCATAACACAAATCGATTTTCAAAACTGTACACTTGATTTTTTATTGTCTATATCTTGTTATTTTTATTTCCAAACTACAATTACCGAAAAAATATCTTAATGGCTCTAAGTAGAGCAAACGAATGGCTATCGAATGAGTACAGCAATTTGATATTGAACCATGAACACGTCCTTTTTTGATCCTTATAACATGAGGAAGTAATCGTAAAAAACGAGTTTACATCCATTACATTATTAGTTTTTCATATTTCCTTAGTTTTTTATTCATTCTCAATCAAAATAAAGAAATAGTTGAAGATTCCTATTCAGCATTAAAAACTGCGTCAAATATACTAGTTTGATACTTTTCCCAACAAACAGTATGAGATCTAATAGACTACCATACATCAGGCAATGCTTCTACTCTATCCATCGGGTTTACTGCTTCAAGGAAAAGTTATGAGTCTATGCCGGCCATCAAAAGGAATAAGGAAAGAAATGACTATTGAAAGTGACTTTGATTCTTTTTATAAAAAATT